TTTTATACTTAATGTGTGATTTTCAAAGCTGTAAATGTTGACTTTGACTGTGACAGGCATGCTTTTGAACCATTATGGGGCAACATATCATTTTGTTCCCCTAATTGCAGTAACTGTTCGTATTGATCTGTCTTTAAAAGTTTTGCCAATCCAAAGTCTGAAATTCTTGCTGTCAAGGCATAATCTAGAAGGATATTTTGAGGCTTGATCACAGTGTATGATTTGGTTGCTGCACTCTTCATGTAAATAAACAAGCCCTCTTGCTGTTCCAGAAGCAATTTGAGTTCTTCTATGCCAACTGGGCCTTGAATTCTCGAAAAGGTATGATGCTAAAGATCCATTACTCATGTATTCATACACCAAAAGTCGATGTTGTCCCTTATTCCAAAATCCTAGATGTTGCACAAAATTCTTGTGATTTGTCTTGCCAATAGCACTAATTTCTGCTTGAAATTCTTGCTCACTGTTTGTCACCAGCTTGTCCAATCTTTTAACTGCAATAAAATTATTGTTACAAATAGCAACAATTCCTTGTAAACTGTTGCGCAAGCACCATTTCCAAGTTATTCTTTGGAATTATTTGTGGCTTCCTGCAAGTTCCTTGTAAGTGAGGCTTTGCAAACTCATGCCTCGGATTTCTCAGGGGGGCTGAATCACCCTTCTTATCCTTTGAACAGCCCAAAGAGTAACAATCAACAGAACAAGTTTTAAAAATGCTAAGCTACTAAAGAGCATAGTTACAATAAGAATCAGTGTTGACTTATATTTCTCTAAACACTTAGCTGCAGATGGCCGTGTAGAACTGTCTTTCTCCATGCAAACGGATGTTGTGGAATTGTCTTTCCTTATTTTGACCAGTGCTTTCATTCCATCATTATGTTGCACTCCATTTGAGATCCAACAGTCACGATTTGTATTAACCATTGCAACAGTACAAAAGCAATCTGTCAAGCATACCTATTTGCACCAATCCTCATTAACCTGCTTAAAATATTCATAATCCCCTCCCCACCAATTTACGCCTGGCAGCTCCCTTATATGAAAAACATCTGCATCTTGGTCTCCATCACAATCTTGTGGGACAAAAGCCTGTTAGCATCCATTCATTTCATTATTTGGATCAAAGAGTGAGTATCCATGTGGGCACTGACATTTATGTCTCTGACCATCTCCTTGAATACAGTAGCTGTTGAACCAGCAGGCCCAACTACCCATGTGTTGTGTTTTGATGCTCTTGCAAATGTTGTCTGGGTCATGGGACAGTGAGGACCAGGCCATAGGCCTTCCATCATGACACTATTGTTCCTTGGGTAGATATATTGCCTGAAGACACCATCATATTCAAGGATTGCTAGCTGGTAGAAGTCGCTAGTTGAAGCTCTACTTAATGTTATATAAATGAGTATCTTTCCATTTTCAGCTTCTAGGTAGATGTAGCCAGACAGGTTAAAGATAACCTCAAAGCCACTTCCGTTAGTGTTAACTGACCATTAATTAGCATTTGGCGAACGCTGTGGGCAATGTAAAGTAGAAAGTACAAGATTTCCATTGAATTGTAACTGCATTTGAAACCTTCCACTCGAGTAGTTCATTTCTGAATAACGAGCATCAAGGCTGCCGCCAATGTTTAATATCTGTTTCTGTTGGAAGCCAAGTGCGAAATCATCAGATGAAGATTTCCAAGAATTGTTTTGATTGAGCGTTGCAGTTAATGAGGAGCCCAATGTTATGTTTTGATATATTAGAGCTAAAACACAAACTGGCGGCAATAAAAGTAGAATGAGACGTAGAGAATATTATGGAGAAGAAGCCATGGTTTACAACGGCTTTGAGAACCAGACTTTGAAATTTTGCGCAAAAACAAGGCTGTAGCAGCAGGTAAATATAGTCCCTTGTTTGTTCTATGGCTGCCGAACAATAATTAGATGAAATTAATATAATTTTAAAAATTAATAGATATTTTGGAATAAAACAAAAATTTTAGATTAAAATTTAAAAAAAAAATGAACGGTTACTAGATGAGCTGTTAAATTAAACTAAAAAGAAAGCCCCCAAGGCCCCAACACTCTTCCATTCTTCAATCAGTTCAATCTCAATTTCAAAGGCCTGCACTCATATTACTACTTGCATTGGGTAAGGTGCAGATTTATCAAGTTTAAAATCTTAATTTTAATATTTGTAAAATTAATTCTCTTTCCTCCGAATTATCCATGTTAAAAAAAATTCCAGGGCCCAAAAAAATTAAAAAATAAATAAAAAAAAGTTTCAATCACATGTTTCTTCTTCACTCGTCTTCATCCATTCTTGGGTCCCTCCGTTCTTCAGTCTCTGTTTGAATCGAAGTCTGAATAGTGACTTTGTCCTTCTTTCACTTCGTTCTTCTTCTGCACATCAGCCTATTTTCGTCGGGGCTGCCATTTCTGATGAAGTTTCTGAAATTGCCGTGGGTCGGTCTCAATTGGATGCCGAAGTAATTAATTATGAAATCTTATGAGGTCTTGGTTCAATTGAATTTTGAAGGTGTTGCTCTGTCCTTCAACCTTTGTTCACCATGTATCTTTTTAATTTTCTGAAATTGGAAATTGTGGTTTGCTTGTGATTAAAATTGCAATATGTTTCTGTGGGTTTTCTTTGATTTAGTGAACTAGACGTTAAAAAGCGAAACTGAAGAGCCGAGCCCAAAATTAACCTCAACCCCAAGGTATACCATCTCTACAAACCTTATTAAAAACTATATGTTAAATCCCCATTTTGGTCCCTGAACTATTGTACAGACCCCCAATTTGGTCCTTGAACTAAAGAAATCTCTGATTTGGTCCCTAAACTATTGTACAGATCCCCGATTTGGTCCTCACTGTTTATAATTTGGCCTAAGTTGGTCCTTGAACTATTGTACGGACCCCCAATTTGGTCCTTACTGTTTACAATTTCACCCCAATTTGGTCCTTACTGTTTACAATTTCACCCCAATTTGGTCCTTACTGTTTACAATTTCACCCCAATTTGGTCCCTGAGCTATTATTTAATAGAAGGACCAAGTTGGGGCTAAATTGGTAAACAGTAGGGACCAAATTAGGGATCTGTATAATAGTTTAGGGACTAACTCGGGGTCCGTACAATAGTTTAGGGACCAACTTAGGGGTCCATACAATAGTTCAAGGACCAAATTAGGGATTTCTTTAGTTCAGGGACCAAATCGGGGATCCGTACAATAGTTCAGGGACCAAAATAGGGGTTTAACCAAAACTATATCTATATATCAAGAATTCTGCAGGTGTCTAATAAAAGCATTACTTATCTAATTAAAGCATTACTTATCTTAATTTTTCTAAATTGGTTGTGGCAAGTGGTGTAATCTCTATTGAATAATGCAGTCAAACATAAACATACACGAGTTCAAAAATTTAGGTGAAACACAGCCCTAACACATTTCTTCAACTAACATGTAACTATGAATATCTAGAAGAAAGCCTCACAAGATCAACAGAGATCACCCCATGAATCTGAAGAACCAATAATATTGATCACACTCCTCTATTAACTGATCATGGGGCTTTGGTAGGTTATTTAAATTAAACTGATGAATGGGGATTGACTGGAGGATAAGAAACTTCAACAGTTCCTTGTAGCATCTGTGAGACTCTCTTCATAGTGGGTCTCAGAGATGGGTGATCTTGAATGCAACAAATGGCAATCATTACAAACTTCTCTACCCTATTAATGTCCTCCATTGCCTCTTCATCCTCCTGAACTAGAAGATACAGTTTCCCTTCTTAATAGCAATCAGATGCCTAATCAGCTAATAACTTTTGTTTTTCATCCTCTAAATCTTGCTCAACTTTCCTCCTACAACAAATGAGCTTTAGCAGCAAAATTCCAAAGCTGTTGACGAGGGATTGGGGCCGGACCAGGTGAAGGGGAGTCGGTGGCTGGGGAAGACGAGACAGAGGCCGGTGACGAGGAGGAGACAGGGGACAGGGACGAGGAAGAGGGAGAGGGAGAGGGAGAGGGAGAGGGAGGGGAGTCGACGGCAACATAAGAAGTAGTGAGAGAGCGGGAAATACATGAGCAGGAGGGAGAGCGGACCAGACCTGAACCGCAAGCAATGGGAGGCGATGCATCCTGCAAGACTGGGATGACGAAGTCTTACAGAGTTGGGGTGGCAGTGGCGGAGGGCACTGGCGGTGGCAAGGCTGGGAGAGGAGTAGAGGATGGAGCTGAGTCCCGTGCCGGAGAAGGAGAAGGAAAAGGAGAAGCTGAGTTGATGGAGGGCTGAGATGGAATTGAAGGAGAAAAATTAGAGATTTGAACACTGGTGAGATCAGGGAAAATTTGATTTTGAGAAGTTGATTGACCTGTAGAAGCCCGAAAAGGAAAGTGATTTTCATGAAAGGTAACATGTCTTGAAATAAATATTTTATTAATTTGAGGATCAAAACACTTATAACCAAGATGATCAACTGAGTAACCAACCAAAATTACATTAATGAGATCTTGCTTGGAGTTTATTTTGAGTGTATGGGTGCATCCAAAGGTAACAGGCACACCCAAGGGATTTTAGTTTTAAATAATTTGGTGGAATAGAGAAAAGCTTTTCAAAAGTAGTGTGAAAGACAAGACAGAAGTAGGTAAATGACTGAGTAAGTATACTACAGTTTGAAAAGCATGGGACCATAAATGAGTGGGAAGTGAACTATAGTGAGGTAAAGCTAGACCAGTTTCAACAATAGATCCATTTCATCTTTCACAAATACCATTTAGTTTTGGAGTGTAAGGTGGGGTGGTGAAATGAGAAATACCATGTTGTTGAAAGTAATTTCGAAGAGCAACGTATTTCCCACCTCCATCGAAATAAAAATTAATTATTTTACGCCCAAATTAATTTTCAATGAGAGGCTTGAATTTTGAAAAGATAATTGAGACATCTAATTTTTTTTTAGGTTGGATACAGCCCAACATACCGACTGTATAAATCCACAAAAATAATAAAAAACTTGTAACTATCAATAGACGCGGTGGGTGCAGAACCCCAAACATCAGAAAAAATATATTCAAGGGGGGCATGGCTAGTGATGGAGGATTTGGAGAATGGGAGTTTGTGGCTTTTAGAACAAGAACAAGAACAAGAACAAGAATCATAGTAAAAACCATCGAATTTATTTATTAATGGCAAATTGATAACACTAAAATTTTTTTGAATATTTTAGATGATGGATGTCCCAGCCTTGCATGCCAATTTATTGCTAATGTCTTTTCCCCAAGATATGCCATGGGCATTTGTTTAGATGGCCCCATTAGAGGAACTTGGTACATCCCATGTCGGTTTGGCCCTTGCAGTAGTATCGCCCCCGTGCTGCCATCCTTCACCAAGAAAAAATTAGGATGAAATTCAACAATAGAATTTGTGGTTTTGCATAATTGAGAGACAAAAATAAGATTATAAGATGCTGTAGGTGCAAATAAAACATTATGTAAATGAAGAGATGAGGTGGGTGTTGTGAGGGTAGTATGACCAACATGAGTGATTTTCAAACCTAAACCATCTCCAATAATTAGTTCATTAGGGCTGTTATATTCTGAATGCAATGACAGGTTCGACAAATCAGTTGTGATATGATTATTGGCACCTAAATCAATCACCCACTCATTATTGTTTGGACCGGTAGATGTTACATACTGGGTTGTGGGTCCTTGGCCTTGATTTTGAAACAATGAGCATGTACAAGGAGTATGCCCAAAATGGTTGCAAAGTTGACAAGATATATTGGGCCTGCTAGTGTTGGGCTGATTGGGCCTCCTCTTTTTTTGTTGAATTGATTTGGTCTTTGGCTCCCATTTCCTCTTACTCCTGCCATTTGTTGGCTTGATCCAAAAGGTTGTATATTTTGTGGCAATGGCAAAATTCCAGCAAGTCTCCTTGTGGGCATAGCAACAAAATGGGCAGTCACTGGTGTATTTTCAATTCGAGTTTCTTCCCTGTGCATGCTTTCTTCATGGGCAACTAGTTTGTCATGAAGTTCTTCAAAGGAAAGTGGCTCATCTTGAGCACGTATCGAAGCGGAGATCTCACGAAATTCAGGGCCTATCCCATTGAGTACATACACCGTCAAGTCATCATTGGTAAGAGGTTTGTCAATTGCAACAAGTTCATCGGCGAGCACCTTGAGTTGATGAAGAAATTCAAAGACAGTGCAGCCTTCACGGCGAGTGTTTTGAAGCCTCTCCTTGAGTGTAAAAACTCTAGATCTTGAGTGATTGGCATAGAGATTGGCTAGAGTTTTCCAGGCTTGTTGTGAAGTTTCAGTAGCATATATGTAAGGAGCAATTGGTTCTGAAACTGATGTAAGGATAGCATGACGGATCAATTGATCTTGACGGATCCAAAGCTCAAAGGGTGAATTCGGAACCTCTCCGATTGGTGCTGGTGGGCAAGGCCTAGATCCATTAAGAAACCCAGTTAATTTGTAGACTGTGAGGATGGATAGAAATTGTGCCCGCCAAGAGGGATAGTTGCTAGGAGTGAGTTTGAGAGGAAAATGAGCAACAGCATTGATAGTGATGATAGTCTTTTGTCCAATAGGGATGGCGGCATTAGTGAAGATAGGAGGAGAGGTGATAGTTGCAGAGGATTCACTAGCCATTAGTTATGCTCGTTTGAGAGAGAGCTCTGATACCACTAGTGAGGTGAAGAGGGAGATCAAGACTGGAAGCTTAGATATTTATTCACTGATTTTACATGTATATATACACAGGTTCTATAGCAACCCTAATTTACTCTTGTGGAAGGAACTAGTGAAAAAGGAAATATACATAATGTGTAGAATCTTTATTATTACAGAATATATGATTGGCAAAATAATCGAAAGAATCATTTAGTCTTGATATCCCTTGTGTGATTAAGCCATGATTGATGGTGCAGTATCTGAGGTTTCCTTAATAAACCTTAACTGTGACAGGCTTGTTTCCAATCAACCATTCAGGCCCAACATATCCTCTTGTTCCCTTAAATTCTGTAAAAGTTTGTGTCTACTCTATCTTCAGAAGTTTTGCTAATCCAAAGTCTGAAATTCTTGTTGTCAAAGAATCGTCTTGTAGGATACTGTGAGGCTTGATGTCACAATATCTGATCCGGTTGCTACACTCTTCATGCAGCTAAGCAAGCCCTCTTGCAGTTCCAAAAGCAATTTCAATTCCTCTGTACCAACCAGGCCTTGGATTCTTTCTGTTATAAATACTTTATGGTTTTACATTAATGGTTGGGTTTTTTAAGTAAGTAATCCTATTGATACAATATTACTTGAAATTATAAATTTATTAGTATGACGTAAAATTAAATAAATATGATGTGATATTAAATAAGTGAATGCATATAATATTATGAATAAATTTCTAAATTAAAAGATTTAATTATAAAATGACATATTATATTATAAATTTATAATACCAAGTAAAATTGTAACTATAACTCTTTTCTTTTCTAAGTTGTATGAATAGCTAGAGATTGATGTTGTATTTCTTATTCTTTGTTTTAATTACATAAAAAATATAAAAATTGCACCTGGGTCTCATGGCCCAACGGCCATAGGCCGACTTGTAAGGTGCATCCCCTAACCCGAGGGCTAGGGTTCGATTCACACCTCCCCCATATATGTATCCCTGTTCAAAAAAATAAAAATAAAAATATATTCTTTGTTTTAATTACATAAAAAATATAAAAAATTAATATTAATTTTAGTATCATTTCTACTTATATGAATTTAATTCAATAATTGTTAAAATTAATATTAATTTTTATTTTTTTATTAATAAAAAATGTATACCATTAACATGTGTCTTTAGATAGAATAAAGTTAGTTCTCTAAAGTTTACTATCTATAAGAGGAATCGTATCAAGTTTTTATAGGTTTTGAAGTTAGAATATGCTATCTTTATAAATCTCATTCAAATTTTTTGAAATAGATTAAAAATTAAAAATTAAGACGACTTTAGGATATCTTATGGACACGAAGACTCTCATCTCAATTCTAGTACAAAATTTATTTGAAAGAAATGAATGCTATTCATTTATTAATACATCTGCATAACGTTATCAATAAAAATCTTCTTCACCCTTGTCTTTCACTATTACTTTCTTTTGGAGGCATTGACTCAAATTAAATGAGTTTGGCCCCGAACTTTTCTAATGGAGAATTGTACCATTTTATGTCCAACGGTGGGTCTAAGCCTTTACTTCAAACCCTCCCAAAAGCTGGGGACTGAGTTACCTCGCTTACCTCTTCATAGATCAATCCATGAATTGCAAAATATATATATATTTCCTTCATTTATTTTTAATAAATTTAATTTGATATTTTAACTTTTAAAATATACATTTTAAATAAAAATTTAACAATTTATATGAATAATAATTAAAATTTTTTTATCCTTATATATAGCTTTTGTTAAATATTTTTATTTGATAAAAAAATTCAATTATTATTTATATAAATGGTTAATTTTCATTTAAAATTCATATCTTAAAAATTAAAAAGTCAAACTAAATTTATTAAAAATGGTAAAAAAGAGTAGTTTGAATATGAAAATACTAAAACACTCTTAATAAATTTTATTTAATAAAAACATTTAAATATTTTCACAATTTAAATTGCCAGCAATTTGCAAAAAGATATTTTTGATTGTGCATCACAAAAGCCTCAAAAAGAAAAAGCTTCCACCTGATCGATTTTCTTCATATTGTTTATTCCAAAAATGGTTAAATATTAAATTTAGTCTCTGAATTTTACATTTTAAACACTTTTGGTTCCTAAATTAGTTTTAGCACTTTGCTCCCTCAACTCTGTAAATTACATTTTTTTTATTCTTTCGTTAATTAATAATATATTGGGTTGAGGGGAGGAGAGGGGTGGAGAAGAGAGGAAAGAGTTTTTTAGTTAATTAAATTATAACGTTTTAAAATATTATAATTTGATTAGTTAAAAAATCATTTTTTCTTCTCTCCTCCCCTCAAATCATCTCAATTAAACTGAAAATGGAGAGGTAAATCTACAATTTTCCTTATGTAAGGGTGGATTATGTCATTAACAGAAACTAAAATCACTAATGGCTTACCCGTTACAATTTTAGAATACTTGGAAAAGGTCTTAGCCCCAACCAAAGTCAACCAATGAACCATTTCAGAGTACAAAAAGGAGAAGGGGCAAGCACAAATAGGAATTTTGAAGCATGGGCGGACTCTGTCTGGCCTTATGGTCCAGTTCTTGGATAATTTATGTTGTTCTAAAAAGATGATGATAGGAGGATTTGATATGCCTTCAAGAAAAGGGCATTTGTGAAGGATAGAATGTCTAGAATGGTGAACTGTTGGAGCCCAATGGTGCATATATTGATAATTTGATATTGAGCATTGATTTTAAGATGATGGAATAAAATTGGTCTGTGAGTCTATCTGCACGTCTGGTAATTTGGTAATTGGGATATTGTTGTAAATAAGTTCAGTTACAAGTATACAGATAAGCTTGAATTTGCACAACTAATTCGGTGAGGGGACAAAATGATATGAAATTGGGAAATATATAAAACAAAAAAATTATTTCATAAATCAAATTATTTTGAACTGTAAAATAATTATTTTTAAATAAAAGATAAAACTCCTTAATATTAAGTTTTTTTCTCTACCTACGAATTTTTATTTTTATAATTCAAAATAATTCGAATGATAAAACAGCAGACCATGCATATGATTAAAGTATTCCTTTTTTTTATTATTTCCCTGTTTGTTTTCTTTCAATGTCGGCTCTATTATTAAAAAAAAAATCTCGACTCAAGTGAGTATGACCAGAAGATCTGGGTTGAACCGAATGGCTCAGATTTGACCCAAAAGACTTAACATTCGGCCCGACGGCCTATGGGCCTCCCAAAAAATGAAAAAAACTTAATAGTTAATACTAGGCCTAAAATCAAAGCCCTAACACGTTAACACCAATACACAATCTTCCTTTTGTTTCTCTTACCAGCCCTTGAACCCAACACCCATGACGCAAGCATTTGGAAAACTCAAATACTTAACCATTGGGCCTATGGGTACGCCCATGTACACAGTCTCCTTTCTAGCCATTTTTCAATTCAATCACGGGTTTCTCCTTCGTTCTTATTCCGTTCTTCAGGCTCTGTTTCAATCGTGACTCTGTCCTTTTTTCACACCGTTCTTACTCTGTTCTGCACTTTCTCGTCGGAGCCGCCATTTCTGTTGAAGTTTCTGAAATTTTCGTGGGTCTGACTTCGATTATATTTTGAAGGAGTTGCTCTGTCTTTCATCTTCTCTTCATCATGTATCCCTTTCACATAGAACTCAGTTTCTGAAATTGGAAATTATTCAATTCTGGTTTCGCATTGATTGAAATTGTAATGTTTCTGTGGATTTTCTTGATTTTGTGAAAACAGCCCAAGGAATATTCTTTACAAAACCTTACTAAAAAAAACTATATATCAAGAATTCTGCATATGGCTAATAAGTGGATTAGTTAATCCCAATTTGTCTATTTGGTCATTAAATGTGTGTAATCTTAACTTGATTGAGTAATGTAGTCAACCTGATTCATGATCATACACGACACTAACTAGAGATATAACAAATAACAGAGTTAACAAACGTAAACACACAAGAGAACATAGAAGAGTCCAAGAATTTAGCTTGACGAACGCAAAACAGAGCCATAACAAATTTAAATTATAATATTTAAAAATGATATAATTTAAGTTTAGTTTGAGGAGCGGAGAGAAAAGATTTTTTTGATTTATTAAATTATAATATTTAAAAATAATATAATTTAATTAATTAAAATTTTTTCTCTGCTCTTTTTTCTTTTCTTTGTTCTTCTCAAATTAAACTTATAATAAAGGTTGATTATGCAGTTGACAAAAAAAAA